ACGCGCGACTCCAGCCGACAAGAAAGTGCCCGCCGGAGGCATGTAAGGCTGGCGTGTGATTCGCTCGAGCTGTCCGTCGCCGTGACGCGACACCGTTCTCAGAGGTCGGTCGGCGAGGCAGGCGACTCAGACTCGACTGTTGGTGCAGGACCTTCGCGCGGAGGCCCGACGCGGTCGTCCTGGTCCTGTGGAACAACCGGCCGCTCCTGGTGGGGCCTCCTGTCCGGCGTCGCGACGAGGCCGCCGCCGGCTCGCGCTTGCTCAGCAGCTCACGTAGATCCACATCGACCGACGTGACCATCGTCGCACACGCATCCTTCGACGCCGCAGTCGTCGTCACGGCGACGCCAAACGACGTGGGGCTGCGACGACGCTGGGTGACCGACGCTCTGCGCGCTGCTGAAGCCCACCTGGGGTCGCGACGACGACGACGGGCGGCGGCGTACGCCACGACGGCCGACGACTCGGTCATCCTCGCTCCGCCGTGCATCCTCTTGACGTCGGGCGCGGCGACATTGCAGGGCGGCCTGCAGGGCACCCTCGCGACGCCCGGCGCTCGCGGGCGGGTACGCGCCGACGCGGGCGGCATCGGTGGCTGGCGCGCGACGGCCGCATCCGCATGTCCTCTCTATCGCGTCTCGCAACTCGGGACGCTCCCCGAGCACGATCTCGGGCGCCGGGCCGCGAGCGCCGCACTCTCGTGTCGTGCACGTTGATGACGGCGACGAACGGCATCCCGCGAATCGCAGCTCAACGGGTAGCCGTCGACGAGCAGCTCGCCGCGTCGGGCCGCGAAAACGCAGGCGGTGGGGCTGCCCGTCCGAGGTCAACGTCGCGCGTAGCACGAAGCGCAGCTCGATCGCGGCGGCCGTCGATGAAGACGGGTCGCGGCGCGCCTCAAGCACCGCACTCGCGCGGACGTCGCCGACGAGAAACGAACGCCGACGGGACCGAAGAAGCGGATTTTCCCGCAGCTCATTGTCGAGGTACATCTCGCGCACGGCCTGCAACGCCGGGAAACACCGACATCGGCGGGTGGCGGCGGCGCCACGGGACGCCCGCTCGGTCGGACGACGACGCGTTGTTAGCGTGGCGGGTGTGGCGCGCCACGGACGCCGCTCGCCAGACGCCAACGGCGTAGCGCCGGCTGGAAGATGGCTGCGCGGCGCCGCGCCGGCCATGCTGCTCGGGTCGCTGCGGGAACTGCGCGTCAAACCGCGGCCCGCCCGGCTGCTCGTAGCGGAACCCCGCTCGCGGCGGCGGCGGCTCATGCCGGCCTTGCGGCTCGTATTTCGGGCGAAACGCCGGCTCGTCCGCCCACCCGCGGAACACGGCGGGGGCGGAGGGGTCCGGGAGAAGGCGGGGGGGTCGTCGCTCCCCGCGGTAGTCGTGCGGGGGGGCGGCGGCTGGGCCGGCGGGCGCGGGGGGCAGCCGCGGCGGCATGGGCGGCGTCGGCAGCAGCGCAGGGCCCTTCTCGCGCATGGTGCCGTGAGCGTGATCGATGACGCGCGGCTTCACCGGCGTCGTACTGTAGGTCGCGACCTCCCGCGGCCCGCCACCCATCTGCAGGTGGCGCCGCTGCAGCTTGTACAGCTCGTCGAGCTGTTTCAGCAGCTCCCGGTGCTGGTCCTCGCTCAGCTTGCCCGAGCGCAACTGCGACTCCGCCTGCTCCATGATCGCCCCCTGGTGGGCAAGGTGGAGAGCCTTAGGGATCTGGAGGTCCTGCTCGATGGAGACGCGTGTGCCGTAGTGTCCGCGCCGCGACGTCCCGCGCGGGTCCGCCGGCCGGAACTCACGTAGCGGCGGCCTTGCCACCGGGACGTCGCCGCTGGCACCACATGGCTTCCCTGGTCGCCGCTTCTCGCCGACGCCGGGGGCGCCACTGTCTCTCATATCGACGTCGCGGGCATTTTCATCGACGGCGGGCTCGCCGGGCGCTGCCACCCCGGCCGCAGCCCGCCGCTTCTTCATCGGGATCTTGAAGTCCCTGATCGGGTGAGCGGCCTTGTATTTCTTCCAGCTGACATGGCTGGGACTGCGCAGTGGTGAGCCACGCTTCGCGTAGTAGCCACCGCGCTGTGGTCTCCTCATGTCCAAGTCGTCACGGCTCGACAACCTGTAGGCGGAACAACAAGTGAACAACTCGGTCACAGGAAACTGCACCTGAAACTCTCCGAAGATGCGAAATCCGTCGCCACGTGGATACGGTAGAATATGCGTACAATTTCATTTTACACACGTAATCAGAGAATGCGAAATGGATTTCTGAAACTGGGAGCACACAATTATAGGACTTGCTATTTTTTCAGAATAATAGGTTTACAGACAGTGCTCTAGATGGCGACCACAATGGTCACATTGGTGACGAAAATGCACATTGCTGGTCACCAACTATCAGGTACACAAATTCGTCACTGCAACGCAAGTTGCTTGCACGTAGACGTTTTATTTACGAGCTGCCTGGATGCACACAAGCTTGCGAGCAAAAGCTTGGGCGAGACAGACACCAGCGTGGCTTTCACTATTGATTTAACAGTGCTTGCTGTCTGGGACACGCAATACACAATGACGTTGTCAACTGACCTCAGGCACCGAGCCATCTCCGAATTATTTCTTGGGTGTGCACAGTGTACTAATGATAAACAATACGTAGGGGCAAGTAAGTCCTGGAGGGGGAAAATACCTTTACGGAAGCTTCCCTGAACCTTTACATTTGTTGACCAGGTGATGGCCACATCAAAAATCACTGTTACACTTTACTTTACAAGCGATTAAAATAAAACTAAATGGCTCAGTGCTTAAAACTCTGCTCTATGTATTGACTTACAATGTTGCGTAGTTACGAGGTTTTCATATCATGGCCATAATAAAAATATTGTTTGTTTGCCCTCACCTGACCGACCCGCCAAAAAGGGGCCGACTCAAAATTTGTATTTTTTTTTATAAATTGTATCACTGTACATTATATAAATCTGTAGGCACTACATTATAATATGTACCAAGCAAAACAAACATTCAAGATAAAAGGTATCTCCACACAAGCACACCCGAGCATGTAGACACCATGATGCTGAATTTGTAAAAAGACCCCCTCAAAAAAAGAAGAAGCCTACCTTAGTACCTACCCAAACTTTTCAGCCTGGGTCGGGTGAGTGCAAATAAAGATTTTTTTAATTGTGGCCTTCAGGTCACTCCCAAGTCACTAAAAAGCCCCACACACTTCCCGTACGCCTGCACACCCATCTACGAGTTGATGACTCAGTGTCTCACCTGTCGTCGATGACCTCGTCCATCTCGTCTCGCGGCCTCTTCTCCGGCGGCTCCCCCGCCTCAACCTCCTCCTCCTCCTCCTCGTTCATCTCCTCGCTGCTGATGTCACTGATGTTAGACAGTGCCTCCTCTGCATCAGGCTTCCTCCTCCTCACCCTCTCCGCCGCCGCCGCCTCCTCTCTCCACCTGCCTTTCTCGTGGCGACCGCGACGCTTGCGGTGAGAGCGTTCTAGCGCGCCGCTCGGCTGCGACGGCTCAGTAGTCTCTAGCTCGCGGGATGCCGACCGCGAGGGGCTGTGCGCGGAGGATCCCGTGCTGCGTGGTGAGCGCGATGAGCCGTGCGGGGAGCAATGGCGCCAGCTGGCCGCCAAGCAGCCGCCGCGGCCGCGGCCTCGGCCTTCGAGTAGGTGCGGTGCGGCAGCTGCAGCTTCAGCTCAGGACTCTCGCTGTAGCGGTCGCGACTCGTGCGATAGTTGCGACGGCGCGCATCCTTCTGTTGACCGCGCCCCGCGTCCCGCAACTTCTCGCGCCGTTTCCCGTCGTTCGGCGGCGGCGGGGCGCCCGCGGCTTTTTCCGGCGGCGTGCCCCCTGTCTTCTGTGGCTTCTTCTTGCTGTCTTCGCGCTTGCGTGCATTGAGCGGCGAGGCGACGTGACGCGTGCGTTTCGGCGACTCCGTCCGAGCACCGTGCTTGAGCGTGCTTGTCGACGATGCCCCCTTCTCAGATCTCTTCGATGCCTCGCCGGCACCTTTCCTTCTCGCCTCCGCAGCTGCTGTCGTGGGCGGTGGCTTCCGCAGCTCGGTCTTCTCCAGAGACAGCTGTTTTGCTGGCAACTCCGCGCGCCGTGCCACCGACGCAATTCTTTTTGGTGACTCTGTGCGCCTGGAATTCACGTGCTTGCCCGATTCCGCCCTCCGTCCTTCCCCACTGGACGCTGGCTTCGCATTGTCCGACTTTGTTGTGGCTCCCTTTGCTGCTGTGCTCTTTAACAAGCTCATCAGGCTGGTCCTACTCAGCGCGGAATTGTCTTTGTGCGTCTCTAGGTTGCGCACTTTAAGCTCTTGCCTAGTCGTTGGCTCCGGCTTTGCCGCAGGCTGCTGTTCCTGCTTCGTCGCAGGCTGCTGCAGCTCCTGCCTTGCTGTTGGCTCTTGCTTTGCCGCAGGCTGCTCCTGCTTTGTCTTGACCGATGGCTTGTGTTCGTCGGGCTGCGGCGTCGACAGACTGCCGCTCATGATGCTCTCCTGCAGACGCGCGATGCTGTCAGAGATGGACACACTGCTAGCAGCCGCCGCGCCCACGCTGACGCGCGCGACCAGCCGCGGATCCTGGATGCGTGAGCCGCGCAACCGCGGGTCCGTCGACGGCAGACCCCCGTCTCCATCCCCGCCAAATGCCACTGCGATAGTCTGTAGCACGGGCATGCGCTCACGCCCATTCCCTGCCGCCGACATGGACGCCACAGGTTTAACTGCTGCCGATGACGCCGCTGCCGCTGCCGCTGCCGCTGCCGCTGCCGCCGGCGCTCGCTTCTTCACCTGTTAAGAGATAAGCAATACAGACGCCCCGTCCACTACAAGCTAAAGCAACGCTAACCACAAAACGCGATCGAATTGGTAAATGGTGCCTAGAAAACCTGACAAGGATTTACGTAATACATGCACGTGGGTGTACACAATTTTTAATCTGGCTTGGTGGAGACACTCACAGTTGTGATTTATATGCAGCACGTACTTTTGCGCAATTCTTTCAAATCCAAACTCGCACACTGACTATAATTAATGGAGCAATGCTTTATAACATGAAAGTGAAACTGAGGTAGGGATTCATGGTCCACCATTGACCCAGTTACATGCAAAGATCACTGGCACACTGCCAATTGTTTGCACTGAAATGACGACAGACTACACAGTAGGTCACCACCCGCATCAGTATCAGGGGCCCGTTGTCAGAATCATCGTAAAGTTAATGCTAATATTAATGCTAAGATAACACTTACGACTAATGTTAATGTACGAGAGGAGCGTTGACAGAAACACATCGCAACTATTAGAAAACTTACGATAACAGGAACTTCATCACAAGGCTGCTGATTAGATAAGAATCGATCACAAAATTCAAATTCATATACATTTATTGTACATCACAGTAATTTATGCATATTAGGATGGCTAACCACATATAAATAATATTTGATGAAAAACGACGTGGTCATGAATTTATTCTGCACAACAAGACAAATTCTCACACTGTAACGCGAGACGCGAGAGTCGTGGCAAGCGTGGCAAACATTTAAAACAAGAGAACAAATGCCATACGCCATTTGTAAATGTATTGTTTTGGTTTACGAACGGTAGATAATTAATGTTTTCGACGCGTTTTTCAAGAAAAACATACATTTTACTCATTAATATAAAATATACTATCACTGTAATTGTAATTCTGAGTGTAACTGTAATATTTTCATCTTAATATTAAAGTTACGAGAGGGTCTGGGCTCTCGTAATGCTAGGAGGAAATTTCCGAGGAATTTTCATTCTCGTAACTTTGCGATGTTTCTGTCAACGATTTTCGAGTGGCAGTTAATGTTATGACTAATGTTAAGACTAATTTTGTTTCTGACAACAGGCCCCAGGCCATAATAAAAATATTGTTTGTTTGCCCTCACCCGACCGACCCGCCAAAAAGGGCCCCCGACTCAAAAATTTTTATTGATCTTTCCCATTCTTTTTTTTACAAATTGTATCACTGTACATTATATAAATCTGTAGGCAATACATTATATGTACCAAGCAAAACAAACATTCAACATAAAAGGTATCTACACACAAGCACACCCGAGCATGTAGACACCATGCTGAATTTGTAAAAAGAGAAAATGTTTTGAGATGAATTTGTTTCCTCAAAAAAAGAAGAAGCCTAACTTTTCAGCCTGGGTCGGGTGAGGGCAAACAAATATTTTTTTAATTGTGGCCTCAGCGGCTCACTCACCTCCTGTTCTATGAGCAGCTGCTGCCGGCGTGCCTGCACATCCAGCTTGGATTTTGTCGCTGCGAGTTCCATCTCCAGCTGCTGCTGCTGCAGCTTCAAGAGTTCAGCCTGCTTGCTGATCAGCTGCTGCTGCAGTGTGAGTGCCTCATCTGGTTCACTAGGGGGCGTGCGCGGCGGCGTAATCATCGGTGCTGGTCCGGACGACATTGTTCCATCGCCTCTCACGCTCGTGCCCGTCTGTTAATGACAATGCCGCAAGAAAACTGTTTGCAAATTATGCAACATTAGCAGCGAAGGACACTAGACTACCATACGTCAAGCTGTGTACATGTTGCAACATCACCGATTGGCTGTTTGAAATACATTCAACGTCGCAGATATGATCGAAATTAATAAAATTCGATCTAGCTGTGATAATATTGCTCTTAATGTCTAGTTGTAAGGTCAGATATTATTTAGGGCCTAAAACTGAACTCGCCAAACTGTGCGAGTACTGTTTGAGTTCAACTCGCCCAGCATAAATATTACTCGCCAATGGCGATGTGACGAGTGCTACTTTTGAACCATACACACGTGTGCAACTTTGTTCCCAACTTGTTTTATCACAGAGGAAATATTATACACCAGACTAATTGAACATAGTCATACAAATACATAAATGCACAAAACAAAACATCACAAAAGTTATGGCAGGCTGTTCTGCGCACACTGTGTCACACAGATACGAGGAGAGCATTGCATAATGAAGAGAGACACATACGAACCTTGTTGATGAACTTGGGATTAACATGAATGCTGGCCTTTGTCGGCGGCGGGGCGGTGATCGGCCATGCTGGGTCGATCTGATTCACGCGATAGTCGATCGCGTATAGCTTCTTGTTACTGAAGATGCTGGCCCACGTCTGTCGTAGCTTGTACATACACCCCCTTGTCTCCTCATTCACCTAAAACGCGGTTCGCACACAAAAAATGTCTCCAAAGTATTGCAGGACTTATTTTACATGATCGCAAGATATTAAATGTATACAGCGTTACTGCCTCATGTCGTTTATGGATTAGTAAACAAACTCTAGCACAAAGCCAATTCAATTTCTGTCAGGCAGTATAAACGAGCTAAATTTCAATGATTTTCTAAAATTTTCCAGACATGGAGAATGGGACTTTAACGTGACGGATTTTAACGTGTCGTAGTTTTCTGACCATTACAATACTTTTAGATATATCGCTTGCGTAGCAGCAAGTGAAATAATTCCTTTTACGACGTACCCCATTATTACATAGTTACACAATGTTTGCTACTAATATAACAAATGAAAAGCTATTGAACCCAAAATGCACACACTAATTACATGCTTAGCAGGCTTTATGAATACAGAACCTAGCTTACCTTTTCAAAGACAGACACAAATGTAGATACCATATTTTGCTGGAAGAGTTCTACATAGTTGGATTTCTTCACGTTCTTGAGGATGGAGTCAATCAGGTACAAACAGGGCAACTTGTGCTGTGCTGGAACCTATAAATAAATAGCTTATTACAATAACCACTGTGAATATTGTATTTGGCATTAAAGCCTTTATTTCGAAAATAATCTCCAACCAGTCTCGTATTTTCCCCACTTTTATGACACGTACTGTTATAATGTTATTGCTTGAGTAACATCAACTGTCTAGACTAACACTAACAGTAACATGTCAAGATTAGAACATTCGTACTTAGCTATATTCTCCAAAACATGCAGGATTTGAATTTTGATTACTCGTTTCAATTACCGCCACCATTTCTTGCGAATCTCGGACTATCTCACGATACCGCGAGATATCGGGCAATTTAAAAATAGAAACAGAGTAAACTACACAGAATCAGATGCCCTTTTGTTTGAAGTAGGTGCATAAAGGGTGCACTTAGGCTCAATTTGCAAATTTATTGTCGGTATAATCAAATATGCCAAGGTGTTACGGCGTGTTCAATTCCAATTTTCTATGCTATAACAGAATAAATTCTTAAGTGTTTTTTATATTGGTGTAATCAGTAATATATATATATATCCTCTGTAAGGTGAGACTATATTTTGCTATAATTTTATAAGATTGTGCATTTTGGGGCAATGATTTCGAAATAAATCCTGATTGAACACCGATTGATTTTAAGACTATGGCAACACAACTTTCAGTAATTTCAAATGCACTGCTACCTGTCCATGGTGAATTTTTCTATTTTAAAAAGAGACTGGTTTAAACTTGGTTGTAAAGCACATGTAATTCCTTTTAAATTAAATTATTTATTCTTATATATGAACTCCCTCTCAGTATCACGTAAATATTCTGGGTCAATATATGTGGCACGCTTGTATTGCCGCTAAAATTGTTACTACAAAACAATTCAGTGCTCATTGACTGGTGCGTGGTGTCGTTACTACGCACATGTATGCTGGAGCACTGTGTATGGCGCAGGTTTGATCATAGCTATCGATTACAGGTCAGTCTAGAGCACTTAGAACGTCTCGGTGTGTTTCGAGCCATAGAAATATATAGTAACTGAATGTTTTTTGCATGACATATTTACCATAGCATGCAATGTACATTCTATTTTTCTGTCTGTGTATCGTGATACGTATCGTATCTCGTGATACGTATCGTATCGTGATCTACGTATCGAGATATATATATATATCGTATCGCAACAAAGTGTATCATTACACGTCTACTAGTATCTAGTAGTAGTACTACTAACAATAAAATTTGAAATTTAATTTACAAGAAACAGCAGTGCACCATCACCGAGACTTACTGTATTAGCTGTATATTTCGCGGTCGTTTAATTTTCACGAATTTCGCGAACGCGTCTCCGACCGCGAAAATAACAACACGCAAATATTTCACACTGAATAAAACCGCATAATTCATAATTCACCAACAGCGAAATTTACCACTCCCGAAATTGTCCGTCAAGTCTAAATTCGCAAAAATATCTGTAAGCGGAAAATACGGCTTATACAGTATCTCATGCACGATGACGATAAAGGGAATTGTTCTCAAAACATTCTATAAGCATCACAAATGATACGTAAGCATGGCAACACAAACAAAGAGTTTTGCTGTCTTTGTTAATATAGTAGAACCCCGATTTAAGGCGAATTCGGATATAACGCGATGAGTCGTTGGACCCCTTTTTTTGCTCTTATATAGCTACGTACATATAACCCTGATTTAGTGCGACCCTACTTTTTTCGCGATGACATTTTATGTACCCCAACCATCGCGTTATAACGGGGCTACACTGTAATTATAAACACTCGTGGTTGCCCCTAAAGGCTATCAATTCTTTCCGAGCGATTATAAATTATTATCTGATTTATATTTATCATCAAAATACCCAAACAGTTTTGACGCGGGCTTAGGCACAAGAAACATTTGTTGAGATCGATACCTACATGCCTGTAATGCCTAGCTCAGCTAAGATTACAATTTATTATACGAGCCAATGGGTATTGTCGAAGTGGTTGGTCTTGTTTTAGAGAGGAACCAATGCTGCAATCCTACCAACTCATTCTAGACTTGCATTTAAAATAGAATGATTTTGTCACAATACGGGTCTGTGGAATTTCGCGACAGCGCAAGTCTCGCACAAGTTTTGTTGAAATATGGCAAACGTGATGTATATCATGCAACATGCAAACATGAAACATGCCAACAAATCTCATTTTCAATGCGGATTGCTGCACACATTTGTGAAAAGAATGATGCGCTAGTGTTCTATGAAATGTTAGCCTTACTATATACATTTGGTGTTAGGTTAGGAAAGGGATAGCGATATCACAGTCGTCGATAACATATGAAAACGGTTAAAAACACGAGAAATGCTCGTTTTTAAAACTAAAAGCTAGGAAATTAACCGATGGCATATTGACACAGGGGTCGAAATTCGCTATATAGTAATTGCGCAACACAAGTGATTATCACCGAACGCAAGTGATGTTTCATAGCAACTTGCGGCTTAGTCCACAAATGCAGACGTTATAACTCCGCTTTGCTAATCTGAGGGTGCGTGTTTATCGACTGCAGTCACCCTTGTAAAAATTGTTGCAATTTTTGTTGTGGGCATTGGATAAGTGAATCGAGTAGCACTGAGGGCGTGACGGAGGTATATCCGACCCAAAATATCAAGTACAAACCTTCTGTTTGTCAATATCGCTTTCCGAAGACTTTATCTCTGTTTCAGAACTTTGTTTTCATGCAATAATTCATCCTAGTCAGAGTAACTTCGATATTTTTGGCCATATTGGACAGATTTTTCGATCGACCAATGAAATTCACTTCCGGTAGCCTCGGGTTCACTCGAAAATAATAATTCGAAATAATAATAGATGGCGCGGACTACCTAAAATGTTTCCTGTTGAACATCGGGAATAGCCGAAGTAACCGGAAGTGATTTTCATTGGTTGACAAATGTGAATGAAGACAGAACATTTTCTTTGGATGTTTATATTTACAATTAGGTTAACAACTTGATATATTCTTATGTTGTGGCCGCTATCAGGACATCATAGCGTGCATGCACATAGATAAATGATTAAAGTTCAGATTAAAGTAAGTTCCACGCAATAGGATTTTATATATATCGGGCGCATATATTACTGCATATATAAGTGCCACCTCCAAACTGGAGGTGGCTTTCCGTGATTGAGATAGACACGGCCGCAGACCCCATTACTGGGGTCTGCGTCGGCTCGGACTACTTGCGGCTGCGCAAGTCAACAATAATCAATATACCATTACCAGCTACATCCGTATTTAGAAGTCAGACCCATTTTATTTTGATTTCTGTACGGAATTGAAGCGTAAATGACTCTGAATCAGAGCAGGAAGACACAGAATAATTCATAAACTAAAACAGGGAGGAAGGGAATGGGTACTGCCAGTTTGGAGAGCAACAGTCTGGTAGTGGTAGGTGAAAGTAAAAATCCCTTGCCGCAAGTAGGCCTAATTGTTTAACCTAACTTCCGGCATGCGCAAGTATTTTTTATAGCGAATTTCGACCACTGTGACAGATGGAAAGTAGCCTAGTACCTTTAGCAAATGTGCTTCGATGACTTTAACAACTTGTTCGGCATATGAAGCGTTGTCTTCAGCCAGCATCGTTAGCATATTAATGAGAGGTTTACTGTTGAAAGTCAGGTCAGAAAGTGACGCTTCATACTCTTCACAAACCGCTTCTTCCATGGCAGCTGTTGGGCTCCTCCCCTCGCTAAGATATCACGAAGTTAATTTCATACACTTCATACATGCAAATGACATAACACCACGATTTTTCGCTAAACGTAGAGAAGTCCGCAGACAGAAAGAAAATAAGTGCTACAAGATGGCGCAAGACTGCCAACTTTGCCAGCTCGTTATGGCTGTTTGTCCCAAGATATCACCATAGCAGGCGTCCTGTCGCAATTTCCCAGAATGCACTGGTGTAGCGCGGTTGCGACCAAATTTTGGATCTTTCGGATTTTCAAAGAGATAGGGCCTACTTTCTCTCATAAGAGATGTAAATAAGAGATACTTTCCTCTCTAATTTGAGAGTATATTATGATAGTAGATTTATAAATAATAGCACATTCCTACAATAGCCATTCATGTTTGTCATAAAACAACATTGAATTTCGAAATCTTCATTTTTGGGCGCTGACATGACACCGCGCGATTGTTCTGCCACCCTGACGAAATTAAGTTGCGATTTTACGGAATTATTTTGCACGTTACAGACCGAGGGCTAATCACAAAAGTGCAATTATATGTATACCTAACTGCTATATTTAACCGAACTATTTTTATTTTAAGTCCAATTGGGCAGTTGTTGTGCGAAAAAAACGGAAAAACGAATTCGTTTATCGCTTACCGACTTTTGTTATCGTGTATGAAAAACGGAAAAGGAAATAACTACCATTTTTCGTGTTTTGTTTTGAAGTAAGAAAAACGAAAAGACGGTATATACACTAGAGAACATTGTACTATACGGCGCTCCCGCATAATAGATGGTCCCTTGTACAAGCGCGCATGCGCGATCGGACTGAACCGGAACCAGAGAGGATTGTAAGCACGCCCGCGTTTCAATCTGTGCAATACTTGTTTAGTTATTGTCATTTCACGCTGATTCTTTCTAATAAAGTGATCGAACAAATAGAACTCTGTTCTTATTTATAACTAAACAACATGATGCAGTCAGGCGGGGATCGTCGGTGCTGAGGAGAACACGACTGGGTGCAAACGAACCACCAGAACGTCGACAGGTACTGTACCCAATCGATACCCCCAGAGCACTGTACACACGTGTGTATCACCAAAGGTAGAACATTTGCAACAGAATAACTGTCCCAATGGCGCCTGTGAATGCGGAGTGCCCGATCGAGGGTTGTGACTATATATGGCTACGCACGCAGAGGCGGCAGTGATGGCGGCCATGCTGAGTATACACGCCACCGTGCACGTCACAGTCCCCAGGGGCCGGATTCATCAACGTTGCGTAAAGTGTATTGCGTACACAGAGTTTCTACGAAGTACGTACGCAAAGCTCGTAGGTGCGATTCATCAACGCAGCGTAGCACCTGCGTACGCAAATGTTGATGAATTCCAGTGTAAATCCACTACGCCATCGTGGCTGCTGTCTGTTGAGGAGCGTGCCTAGCATAAACCAATCACACTGCGCGATACATACCATAGGAACCAAACTGACGCCTCTCTTGTATGTAAACCATATGGCTCGTCTAGCTCTGTCTACAGGAGTGCTGAGGGATGTGATAGTTGTCCTCATTTTCGTTTGTATGATTGCGTTCAACACTCGATGAAAGCAGCGACACGTACACGTGCGTGCGTGCGTGTGTACGTACACGTGCGTGCGTGTGTGTGTGCGTGTGCACGTACACGTGCGTGCGTGCTTGCGTGCATGTGCACGTGTGCGTGCGTGTGTGTGCACGTACACGTGCGTGCGTGTGTATGTACGTACACGTGCGTGCGTGCGTGTGTACGTACACGTGCGTGCGTGCGTGTGCACGTACACGTGCGTGCGTGCGTGTGCACGTACACGTGCGTGCGTGCGTGTGCACGTACACGTGCGTGCGTGC